ACTCACTTTGGCCAAACCATGTAGGGGAATTCCCTAGAAAAAGTAATTATGTTTGGAGCAGTTAGCGGTAAAAGGGGACCAGGTGACTAAAGAACATGGTGGCTGGACACCATCAAAGTTGATACCAGCCAGAACACAGAAAATCTCAAAGAAGCAGTGCAAGATCAGAAGTCATGGAGAGACCTGGCCCATAGAATTGCCAAGAGTTGGACACAACAGAATGGATATCATCATCATCACCATCATCATCATCATCATCACCACCACCACCATCATAGAACTTAAGAAGTTAATCTGGGGGAGGTGAGTTTTCTGGGTGACCCCATGTCAGTTCAAAAGTTAATGATGAAGAAGCTAGACTAGGAACGAGCAAAATTACCGTAGGTTCCCGTTTCACCAAGACCAACATTTTAGGACATCCCTGGGTGACTATGGGTCAATCTTTCCCTCTCAATCTAACCTTCCTCAGGTTGTTCTGGGGGTAAACGGGAAGAAGGAGCAAATAGCCTTAATTATATTCACATATGGTCCTTTTCAATATTTTTGTTTATTGTTTATTTATTTGTTTATTTATAAAATGTATTGACCGCCCAGGTTATGATTAAATTTCTGTGCTGGCCATCTCACTGAGGCAACTCCGGATGGCTTATAGTCATATAATTAAAATACGACACACAATCTTAAAACAATAAATTAAAAAGAAAAAGAAAATTTCAGATAAAATGGAATTAATCAAGATGGAAGCAAAGGAGCAAAGTTGCGCATGGGGGAAGAAATCCAAAGATCTTGTATCTGGGTTTTTCGAGAAAGTTGCAGCTAGAGCAGACAAGACACACAGCCCAGCCCTGGTCCATGGACACACACATAAGTCACTGTCAACTGAACACGGAGGCACAATAGATTCTTTGGAATATAGGAGACCCAGTGAATTTAAGGTATTGTAACAGCAAAATTTTACTTGCTGGAATGTAGTTTGCTCTTTCTCACAAACATATATACACACTCATCCATCCTTACCCACATCCTTCTCAATTAGACTACCAGGCACTAGCCAGATAGAAGCTACCAGATTTGGATCCAAAGAGACTCAAAAGAGTGAGTGGGCTTCAGGATCCCTTTTATACCCCAAAATAATTGCTCTGCTGATTCACAAGACCAGCAGCTACTCTGACCTTCTTGATTTTCAAGTCTGGTAGCTGTTGATGGAATTTGGGAGGGAGAGATTTCATGTGCTCAGGCCCAACTTCCTTTGACTGGTTCAGACAACACATTTTCCTTTATTTCCTTAATGACCTGGTTGCTTCTTAACTTTTCCCCCCTAAGGGGTATATGAGACAAGATTCTTGGCTTTTGTTTACCCTCCTTACGTTCCTGCCTTTGGTAGCTTTAACCTAGTCTCACACTACACTTTCATCTGCAACTCACGGGGTTGTCGTTTGGATTGACACAGTGTACATGTCATTCCTTGCTCTCCTTTTGTTCCCCCACAACAAATGCCCTTGTCATGATAGCTTAGTGCAAGATGTGAGCCCAGCCACAGAAAGAAACCATGATATACTGTACTCTGCAAATTTAAACATAACAGAACAACAAGAGTTGGAAGGGACCTTGGGGGCCTTCTAGTTCAACTCTCTGCTCAGAGCAGGAGGCCTTATATCATTCTGGAAAAATGGCTATTCAGTGCCTCTTGAAAACTTCCAGTGATGGAGCACCTACAACTTCTGGAGGCAAGCCATTCCACTGATTAATTGTTTTAAACTGTCAGGACATTTCTCCTTAGTTCTAGGTTGCTTCTCTCCTTGATTAGTTTCCATCCGTTGCTTCTTGTCCTGCCTTCAGGCGCCTTGGAGAATAGGCTAACCCCATCTTCTTTGTGGCAACCCCTTAAAAACATATGTCTTTCTGTCTATGTATCCACACAAACACATACACATATATACATACATAAAAACACAGATTTAGTGACTGTTCAAAGTTATAATGGCACTGAAAAAAGTGACTGACGACTTTTTTTCACACTTACAATCATTGCAGCATCCCCATGGGCAGGTGATCAAAATTCCTATGCTTGGCGACTGACTCATATTTATGACGGTTGCAGTGTCCTGGAGTCATGTGATCCCTTTTTGCGACCTTCTGACAAACAAAGTCAACAGGGAAGCCAAATTCACTTAACAACCGTGTTACTAACTTAACTGTCTTAACTGTGACAAGGAAGGCCGTAAAATGGATTGTCTTAACTGTGATTGTCTTAACTGTGATTGTCTTAACTGTGACAAGGAAGGCCATAAAATGGAATAAAGCTCACTTAACTGTCTTGCTTAGCAACAGACATGTTGGGCTCAGTTGTGGTCATAAATTGTGGACTATCTGTAATAAGAAAGGGAAGCGGGTGGTATAAATTTGTGGAATCAGCAGAGGGAAGAGGACAAACTCTGATTTGGGGAATGACCGCAGCAACTATCTGTCCATGAACTTGTAAACTATTTTATCAAGACATGTTAGTTTTGGCTATTTTTCAGACAAACAGTTCTGTTGATTTAAGCCTGGTTCGTTCACTTTAATTTTGACTTTGAACCTGTTTGACGTCCTTGTCCATAATGGAAAAATCTTCCCTTTTTATGTCATATAATGTGCTCTCCAGAGCTCCATGTTTCATTAAAATTAGGGAAGGTCTCTTAGTAAAATAAGAAGTCCTTGACATGATAGCAGCATTCCAATATCTAAGGGGGGAGGTCAAGCTATTCTCCAAAGCACCTGAAGGCAGAACAAGAAGCAATGGATAGAAACAAATCAAGCAGAGAAGCAACCAAGAACTAAGTGAGACAACTTGCCTCCAGAAGTTGTGGGTGCTCCAATACTGGAAGTTTTAAAGAAAAGATTGAACAATGATTTGTCTGAAATGGTATAGGGTCTCCTGCTTGAGCAGGGGGCTGGATTAGAAGACCTCCAAGGTCCCTTCCAACTCTGTTATTATGTTATTTTCTTTATTAATCCAGGAGAGTATTCATCTCTGGTTTCTAATTTCACCTAGAATTCCTTGGCCTGGATTATTAGTAAAACCTCTTGATGGAAATTCTTGTGGATGACATAGAACCATGGATAGGAACATCCATGAGAATGGCAAAGAGGACAAAAGAAGAAATATTGTGGTATCGCAACGCAAAGCCCATCAATTTTGTTACATGTTTTGATATATCACAATCAATGTATAAACGGCCATGTTCGTTTTCTGATGCCACAACATGTATTCCATCATTTTGACAAAACCTCCAGATTCTAGGCCCCTTGAACTGCATATAGCAGTTTTATCTGGTATGCCTGTTCACATTTTCCAAGTTCACACAAGATATTACATAATAAACTAACTATATGGATCAGATCAGCTATAAAACCAATACTCGGCATGGCTAGAGTTTTATGGCTTACCTCAGGGGTCTCCAAACGTGGCCACTTTAAGACTTGTGGACTTCAACTCCCAAAATTCCTCAGCCAGTCATGCTGGATGGGGAATTCTGAGAGTTGAAGTCCACATGCCTTAAAATTGTCAAGGTTGAGAAACACTGTTCTAGGAGAACTATGAGTGTTGTGGCTTGAGCTTTCTTTCTAGTGCTGCACATTTTTGCAGAATAAGCACAAACTCATCACACAATGGTGACCTAAGCCTCTTCCTCTTACTTGTCTGGAATCTACAATACAACCTCTTAACTTGGTCACTAATTTTAAATTTGTTTTTAATATATTAATTGGGGTTATTTCTACAGTCTCCCAACTTTCAACTTCACATGGTAGAAAGAATACTGGTGCATTTAAACCAGTGGTTCTCAACCTGTGGGTCGGGACCCCATTTGGGGTCGATCGACCATTTCACGGGGGTTGCCAAGCAAGGCTGTCCGCCATTTTTTTTGTCCACCATTTTTTTTTCCCCTTTTCTGGCGGGTGCCTTACCTCCCTTGGGCTGGGCTAGCTGGTGGTCGGCCTGCTCCATCTCTGCTGCTTGCCAGCTACGCCTCAGCCGGCACAGGGGGCGGAACCACGCATGCGCGGCGCTCCCGGGCAGGGAAAGTCGACTTACGACCGGTTGGGCAGTCCTCGACTTACGACCGGTTTAGTCCTTGACTTACGACCAGTTTAGTCCTCGACTTATGACCGGTTTAGTCCTCGACTTACAACCGGTTGGGGTCGCGGCATTAAAAAGGTTGAGAACCACTGATTTAAACTCTGGAGTTGGAGAAGACTAAGACTTGTGGACTTCAACTCCCAGAATTTATCAGTCAGTCATGCTGGCTGAGGAATTCTGGGAACTGAAGTCCACAAGTCTTAAAGTTGCCAAAGTTGAACACTCCTGCTCTAGAGAATACTATGAGTAGCCAAGGAAACAAACAAATGGATCCATAATGCTGAAAAAGGTGGAAGGAATAAAGAGGATGGCCAGCAGCAAAGTGAATGGACTTGATTATAACTGCAGTGGTTGCCAGGTTGGATGGCCTCCAGGAAAAAACTGGGGACAGGTCATCCTAGAAAAGATCTCAGTGGTTGCTAAGAGTCAACGTCAATAGGACGGCACTTAATCTCTATTAGTTAGGTCAATAATGGAGCTGAGATTTGACAGAAAGTCTTCCATATGTATAACTCACACTATCTTTGTGCATAGCTGCTATATAATTTTGTATTCTTAAAATACTCTTTACTGCAGCAGTATCCTGGGATTAATATGACTGAGTGACTTGGAGAGTTGGTTTTCTCTTTTCGCACAATCGGCATTTCCCCCCTCATTTAGTCAAACTTTGACTAGATGTCCCCATATTTATTCTTTTCTTTCCTCTTGTTTGCAGGACCTTCTGCAAATATTGCATCTTCCCAGGTAAGCAAATTGCAACTGGCAGGTGGTGGGGGACAGCGAACAGAAACACTCCATAAAAAGGAGCACCTGAAGTTAGGTTCTCTGGAGTCTTCCTTCCTTCCAACTAGCGCCTGGTACATTATCTCTGAACCCAGCCATGAATTCCCTGGTAGCTCTCCTGCTCCTGGGTCAGATTATAGGATGTACGTTTAGCCATCACCTGCCATCGCATGTACCGGTAGATTGCAACGGCGAAGATGCTGAAAAATGGGCAGATCTGGCTGTGAACTACATCAACAAGCATAATCTACATGGATACAAATACGCCGTCAATGTAATCAAGGAGATCTTTGTCCTTCCCCGGGTAAGTACAGTGGGAGGAAAATTGTCCTAGTTTCATTTACTAAGTAAATAACAGCTAGGTGGTCTTTTCTGATGTTACGCCAGACAATTTCTGTAGCCTTCCTGCTGAAATTTGGGCAATCCAAGGCCTCTTCCTAGTCAATGTTCTGTAATCTCATAACTTCCATTTCATTGGAAGGCTTGGAAGGCTGTTAGTCTCCACCAAACCATTTATTTGCAATTTTATGCACCACTGCCTTGTCCTTCAGTTCTCAACTCAACACCCCTTCTCTCCCCATCAACATTCATCCTGCATCTTCATAGTTTCTTTCTTTTTTAATCTCTCCACAATACAGTTGTGGACTCTTAAAGTCCCAAGGGACACAAAACTAGAAGAAAGGGAAACTCACACAAAAGCTCTTTGGTTTGGACATCAATTCTTCAGGGAACACAGGAACTGGGTTTTGCGAACCTGAGGTTAGGATTCTGAAGGAGGCAGATGCTAAAATTAGTTATAATACGGATAATCCTTGATTTATGACCACAATTGACCATAAAATTTACTCAACTGCTAAGCAAGACAATTGTTAGGTGAGTTTTGACCCCTTTTATGGACCTGTGTTGTCACAGCTGCTAAGTGAATCATTGCAGTTGTTAAGTTAGTAACACGGTTGCTAAATGAATCTGATTTTCCTTGTCAGAAGGTCACAAAAGATGATCACATGACCCTAGTACATTGCAACTGTCAGAAATGTGAACCATGCGAAGCATCTGAATATTGATCACTTGACCACATGGAATTGCAACAATCATAACTGTGAAAAATAGCTGTAAGTCACTTTTTTCAATGCTGTAACTTGAATGGTCACTAAACAAATGGTTGGACTACCTGTAAATCTAGCAAAAGACAAATAGAAGATTTTTAATCTTTTTTTAGCTATGTTTCTATTCTATTCTGAGTTGCCAGAGTCATTAGAATAGAATAGAATAGAATAGAATAGAATAGAATAGAATAGAATAGAATAGAACAGAGCTGGAAGGGACCTTGGAGGTCTTCTAGTCCAGCCCCCTGCTCAAGCAGGAGAACCTATATCATCTCAGACAAGTGACTGTCTAGCCTCTTCTTCAAAATCTCCAGTGATGGAGCGCCCACGATTTCTGAAGGCAAGCTGTTCCACTGGTTAATTGTGCTCACTGTCAGGAAGTTTCTCCTTAATTCCAGGTTGCTTCTCTCTTTGATCAGCTTCCAAACATTGTTTCTCGTCCTGCCCTCTGGTGCTTTGGAGAAAGAGGAAGCTCTGTCTTCTCCACTGTCCCAGTGTGAAGGAGTCCCCCTTGAACTAGAGATGTATTTTGCTTTACAAGGATGGCGATTGGCATAGAAAACAAGACAGCAGATTGGCAGCAGAAAACAAGACTATTTAAAGTTATTTACAACTGAAATGATGTCTATGGAGATTCTCAATCATCCAGGTCAGTGTTGTCCCAAAGGTCCTTTTTAAAAAAGCAACTGGACTTTCTTGGGTTTTCTTCTCCTTGAAAACGTTTCACTATTTATCCAAGAAGCTTCTTCAGCTTCTTGGATCAGAAGTGAAACGTTTTCAAGGGAAAAAAAAACCCAAGACAGTCCAGTTGCCTTTTGGGAAAGCACTTTTGGAATTACAACTAGAGCATACAATGCAATCTCAGTGTTCACCTGGTGGCAGGTTTTCCTCTTCCTCTTTAGTTCCTCCTCCTTTCACTCTGTCTCCTTCACTCACTTCTGAGCTTGTCCAGGGAGAGTGAAAAGAAAGGAATGGGCTGGATTTTAACAGTAGTGCACTCAGCACAGTTTGACTTTCTCCTGGATCTGCTCAGCTGAACATCTACTGCTTCTCTACTGGGGGAGAACCTTTCTCAGGGCCTTTTGCCCCATCCTTCCCCAAAGACTAAGGATTTTCCAATGACCAACCATCTCCTCCATACCCTCTTGGGTACTGCATGAGGGTACTATCTGGCAGCCAGCTGGTCTCCTCCATCTTGGGTGAAGATGTTCCTTCTCTGGCTCTTCACTTCCCTCATTTCAGGGAAGTTATCTCTGGACTTTTTTTTCTAGCAGAAGAGAATACAGGTAGATCAGCATTCAACTCTGAAATCCTTGGTGCACTGATGAACTTACCTAGGTCATTATCTTTGTTCAGGTAATGAAATGTCTGCAAGGAAACCACCAAGCTCAGAGAGCCCCAAGGATTCCACAATTTTTTTCTTCTCCTTCCCCTACCGGGAACTGACAACTGTTCTGTACACTGAACTCCTCTGTCCAACTTTTTTCTCCAGCCATTCCTTTTGTACAATCCCCTTCTTTCTTATTCTTCCCTCTCTAATTTTTAGTGAGATCAGCAGCATGTTTTTCTCAGCAACTGGATGTCCTGCTAAGGCTCCAATTTTCTATTTTGGTTATTTAAAAGGAAATATTTTTAGATTTCCACTTGAAAAACATGTCTTAGGCCAGGGCTGGTACAGACATGACATGACCATCCAGTTGTTTCTTCAACAGAGTCATCCACTGATTATATTTTGTTGATTCTATTGTTCCTTCAGCAGCCGAGAATGGGGTGCCTGGTCCAGGATTGGCAGGGAACTGGATCCTTATGTTGAGCTAGGACCAACAAATTCCTTTTTGACAGTCTTACAAGTTCCCACGTCTTTATAATAAATAGCTCTGGCACTATTCATATTCTGGATGGAGAGTTACAATGTAAGCCACATCCTTTTCCTAGACACGCAATGCATCACAAAAGAGCCAGAGTTTGCGTTCTGTTGCTCCTTCCACCATTTTGCTGATAGTGACACACAATGCCCCCCATCCCAATCAATGCTTATACTTCTGACTGCTGCTTTTTCAGCTGTCAGGTCCTTAGAAAGAGAGGATGGTCAGCTTGTAATCTGCACCATACAGACAACATGTTTAACCAGCTCAGAGAAGGTTTTTGTGATTTCTTTTGGTTATGCAGAATTTGGTATGAGCACTGGATAAATTTGGTGTGTCAGCCCAGCCCCTTTATTTAATGGTATGGTGTGTAATGGAAATCCAGGAAATGGTTAATTCTGCAACTGGGTTAAGCGTTGTGTGAACACCCCAACTGAGAAAAATGTTAGCTCTCTCCCAACCATCCAATCTTCATTAGACCCCTGTCGCAAACAGTTGTCCTACGTATCTGTAGATAGACCGGCCAGGACGACCTGATGCCATTTTTCGGACCCAAAATGCTGTTGGTTAAATAGACAATATGCACATACGTGAACCATGCAATGTCAGAAAGAGGCACTTTCTTCCACCCAGACCTGGCCAAAACCAACAACTGGGAAATTAACTGAGGTCTGCAAGAAAATCTAATATCACAGGCAGAACAGATCAGATGTCAGGAAATGTCAGTTTTGTCTGCCTTGTAACATCCAAAGGAACTGTGTCTAACTTAAGGCAGCATTGAAATTTCCTGCTGGGTGTATTTTCTTCAAAGCAGTTCATAACTGAGAAGCACACCAGGATGAAGTCTTTAACTTAGGTGTCAATTCAAACATTTCCAAGGACAGCTGATGCAACAGAGACAGAAAAATGCAGTGAGAAAAGTCATTCTCATCCTAATTTTTTCTTTTAGAGACCACATGGGAAAATGGTCCTCCTTGAATTAAAACTTCTGGAGACAGAATGTCACGTGTTGGATCCCACTCCTGTCGAGAATTGTACTGTAAGGCCACCGCATTACCATGTAAGTGTCTGAGGGTTGTTGAAAATGTAAAATTTTGTGGGAGGACAGGTGGCTTCTTACCACTGCACTAAGAGTAAATTGAATTTCTGATATATTGGTGTACAAAGGATTAATGAAACCTCAGGGGTCGCTAATGTTCCATGGGCATTCATTTTGAGTTCACATTTCATAGCCGGATTTCATTTCAACTCTGAGCAATGAATTAGTCAGGAATTAAGAAGTCAATTCTTCTTTCACGTTCATCCCGTGATGTCCCAAGCTGACTTGTTCCCATCCCAGAATCCATGAAAAGTGTCTTATGGCTCCTCTGTTTAAAAGATGAGAGATCCAACCTTAGCAACTTTAAGACCTGTGGACTTCAACTCCCAGAATTCCCCAGCCAGCTATGTCCAAGGTTGGTCGTCCCAGGTTTATAGGTTACTGCCCAATTTTTGTCAATATTGAACTGGCCAAGTAGAAGTTCTCATATTACAACATGTGGAAATGTTTCTCCAAAGAGACCAATAAGATGGTTTTGAAGGAAGTAGGCATGTCAGGCTGAAAACCAANTCCATCTTGGGTGAAGATGTTCCTACGTATTTGTAGGTAGACCGGCCAGGACTACCTGATGCCATTTTTCGGAGCCAAAATGCTGGTGGTTGAATAGACAATATGCACATACGTGAACAATGCAATGTCAGAAAGAGGCAATTTTTTCTACCCACACCTCGCCAAAACCAACAACTGGGAAATTAACTGAGGTCTGCAACAAAACCTCATATCACAGGCAGAGCAGATCAGATGTTCACGTCAGGAAATGTCAGTTTTGTCTGCCTTGCAACATCCAAAGGAACTGTGTCTAACTTAAGACAGCATTGAAATTTCCTGTTGGGTGTATTTTCTTTAAAGCAGTTCATAACTGAGAAGCACACCAGGATGAGGTCTTTAACTTAGGTGTCAATTCAAACATTTCCAAGGACAGCTGATGCAACAGAGACAGAAAAATGCAGTGAGAAAAGTCATTCTCATTATATTTTTTTCTTTTAGAATGGCGATTTGGTGGCAGTCTTCCTTAAATTAAATCTTCTGGACACAGAATGTCATGTGTTGGATCCCACTCCTGTCGAGAATTGTACTGTAAGGCCACAGCATTACCATGTAAGTGTCTGAGGGTTGTTGAAAATGTAAAATTTCGTGGGAGGACAGGTGGCTTCTTACCACTGCACTAAGAGTAAATTGAATTTCTGATATATTGGTGTACAAAGGATTAATGAAACCTCAGGGGTTGCTAACGTTCCATGGGCATTCATTTTGAGTTCACATTTCATAGCCGGATTTCATTTCAACTCTGAGCAATGAATTAGTCAGGAATTAAGAAGTCAATTCTTCTTTCACGTTCATCCCGTGATGTCCCAAGCTGATTTGTTCCCATCCCGGAATCCATGAAAAGTGCCTTATTGCTCCTCTGTTTAAAAGATGAGAGATCCAACCTTAGCAACTTTAAGAGCTGTGGACTTCAACTCCCAGAATTCCCCAGCCAGCTATGTCCAAGGTTGGTCGTCCCAGGTTTAGAGGTTACTGCCCAATTTTTGTCAATAGTGAACTGGCCAAGTAGAGTCCTCATATTACAACATGTGGAAATGTTTCTCCAAAGAGACCAATAAGATGGTTTTGAAGGAAGTAGGCATGTCAGGCTGAAAACCAAGAAAGACCTGCTCAGTTACAGCAAAGCAATTTCCCCTTATTGTTCCTTACCTATAGACAGAAATCATGCCAAACTAAAGCAAACTGTGTGTGTCCTTAAATTTACACCCAGAACTTCTAGGGAGGAGCTGTTTTGATCCTCTTCTTCCCAACCAAACTATGTAAACTTTGCTGTCTCTTGCTCCTCTGGAATGCAACCCCTCCCTCCTGGGAATTCAGACAACATTCCACCACAGTGCATTTGCTACCCTAATGATGGCTGCCTCACAAATTAGTCTACCCAAGTCACTAGTGCACAGTGCTCATTTTAATAATCTCCTATCTCCTAAAAACATGAGATACGTTGTAATGGACATAAATAAATCCTACTAATGCTAAAATTGCCCGGAAGCACCAGTTTTAAAAGACCAATCTGAAATGGTTAGATAAATTATGTTAAGTTAAAATTTAACATGTTTCATTTGCTGCTCTTGTATTTCCAGGATGTTGAAATGGTCTGTGATGCCAAGATAATGTTTAATGTTAAGACTTTCAAAGAAGA